TAGTTTTAAGAAAAGAAAGTAAGAGAGACTATTTCTAATAATAAGACCTACTACAAAATAGTGTAAGGTACATTTTGTCATGGCCATAGCTATTTTTGAAGGATCACGAACGACTTACTAAAACGAAATGTACAAATTATTAATTTGTTTTAAAATATTTCGGCAAGTGGTTACCAAACATTGCTAAAGATCATTATGACTGGAGATTCATAGGAAAGATTAAAATTCTCAAAGATATAGTTTATTTACTCTGCAATCGAAGACAATAATGCCTATTGAGAAAAAAAACTTTACAAATTGTGCTATGATCACCACATATTGATTTAAAAATAGAAGAAATGATCGACCTATTGAACATAATTTTCAATACTGAAAAGTAAAATCTTATATTAACAATAACAGTTTTATTATTTGATATATAATATAACAATCAAGTAGTACATATTTTATCTTATGGAGCAATTGTCAATAATACATTGTGCAAGTATGTTAAAGATATAAAAACTCTAAAGAAAAAATAGTGACATTGGTTTAGAATGTTTTTGAATAGACTTACTTTTATGGAAATAATCTACACGAGCACCCATCATCAACATAAATGTATTTGTGCAATATATCGTTATGAGAGTACCACCTAGGCCGAGATTAATCAAGCTAGTAATTTTTAAGGACAATATAATGGAAGGATCAGTTAATGAATTCGCAATGAAATAATCAGTAAATAACTTTGTAATGAATGAATCAATAAATAACTTTATAATGGAATAATCGGTTAATAACTTTATTGATATTGCAGCCATAATAGAGACGATATTTGTCCACCAGGATAAATTACAAATCAATGGTAAACACGAAATAAAAATACTCAAATTGGAACATTGATTGATTAATGTTTCAATTTCATCATTAGTAATTTTCATATGAAGAAAATCGCTCTTTATTAATTCAATCAGGTGCCCATAATGATGATTAACGTATATTTCATTTGATTCATTAAATATTACTGGATTCATAAAAAAAGATACGTATGTTTTTTGTACAACAATTTCATTTACTATCTCTATTTTGTTGTTATACGTGGATTGTATTTTTACAAGATTATTAAAAGAAACATAGATGTCATAATACCTTTACACTGGGTATCGAGAGTTTTACGTCACAATACCCTACGCAGCAATAATTCATGGAGTATCCATTCTTAGTGCATCTACAATCTGATGTAACCACATTAAGGGTATCCACTTTTGGGTATCCACATTTGGGTATCCACATTTGGGTATCGACATTTATGTATATATATATGCTTTGAAAAGCTGAGCAATTTGAGTTGTTTTGGTGTATCCACTTTTGGGTATTCACATTTGGGTATCCACATTTATGTATATATATATGTGGATACCCAAATGTGGATACCCAAATTCGGATACCCAAAAGTGGATGCGCCTAATGTGGATAGCGTAGTGTGCTTGTGCTAATAAGTCGTTACCGGGTGTAAGGATATTATGACATCACTCAAAAGAAATGATAATTGATACACCAATCCAGATGAAACATATGAAACATATCACCGCTACCAAAAATTTGTATGTAACACTTTTTGTTATATGTTCAATCTTATTTATTTTTGCGGCACATCTTTGATAAATTCCGGTTACATATAAAGAAATTGGATCAAAATAAATTGCATCTTCATGCTTATTTATTTGTGTATTTATTGAAGTTTGTATCGCAACATCTGAGGCTTTTACGGTACTACTAGTTGGTTTTTTTGTTTGCTCAACCAATTCGTTGGTTGGTGCATAATTGTTGTTTCTTTTGTTTCTTCTTCGGTTTTTACGTCCCATATTTCTAAAAAAATCATGTATGCAATTCAATTTCGTTACTTATATGAGTTTTTCTCAACTTGCTATTTTTCTGAAAAACTACGGGAGACAAATTATCTGAATATGGTTAGATAAAGATTTAATTTCCCCATCAAGTCGACTAGTTTGACTCTGATCAGCTGAGACACGAATAGCTCTCTAACCTGTTTTTCATAGTCGTGAGGAAAAATGTTAGGTGAGTCTAAATTAAAACTTAAGTATTGTCTTGGACTACAGATAAATTCTATGTAATTAATTTATAAAAAAAAGAAGATAGTTACCGAAATTGAGAATTTCAATCAGAAAAATTAGGGAAAACAATAACTTCACTAGTACATAAGTATTAGATTCTTATTAAAAATCGAAATTATTTCATCAACAAAAATAAAATATCAATTGGAAAGGACATACCTTGATCGATAATCAATCCAAAACGTTCAACTGCTATATGATGAGAATACAACTGTCTAAATGGAATAGTATAGAATTATAAACGAAAAGAAGAAAATGTATTTACATAAAAACAAAACTTTGATCAAGTAATCGAGCCGACGAATCCTGATTCAATGCGCAAGGATGAATAGGTTTATCTATGACAAAGAAAGCCCTTTTCCAAAATAAAAATATAAAGATATTATAGTTACCAAAATAGAGTATCTTGATCAAGCAAATGAAGAAAATAATTTCAATACTATGCGTGAACAGAAATAGAATTGTAGTGTTGTAAAGGGCAACTAAAATCATTACATTTATGAAAAAAAGTAACTAAATAAAAGAAGCAGGAATATAGTTACCACACAAATGTGTTGATCAACCAAAAAAAAAAGAATCAGTAATTCTCAACTGATGTATGTCCAGAATCGATTCGTCTATCGATAATAAAATGACTTCACAAACAAAACTGTAAAATATTTCCAAAATAAAAATATCCGAATAAAAATAAGTGGTAAATGATAATCAATAGTATCACGCAGTACAATCGTCTACAAAGAAGAAAATGACTTGATAGACAAAAAGAAAAGAAATATGTTAACCAAATCGAACATACTTTGAAAAATAAATAATTAACAATGCCTCAACCCGTATATGATCAGAATCGAATTCTATATGAAACAAATTCATTTCCGTATTGAAAGAAAAATATAAAAAATTACCAAAATAAATCAAACAACCTTGATCGTACGATGACAATTGTATAGCGACAAAAATAAACTACGTTAATCAGGTAAATACGATCAACAACTTTTTTACGCAATGGTTTATCTGAAAGAAATGTACATTTTAAAGAAAATTTTGAAAAGATATTGTCAATAGGAACGGCGTTATTCCTATCATCATCCAGCGACTGGGACATTTCTGTTATTCACAAGAAAAAACAAAACGTTCAATCATATTGTAGAAAAACAACGTGCATGAATTGTGTAAAGCAATTCATACGCGCATCGAGGAACGAAATCAAATATTGGTGTCATACTTCGTATCGAATTAATAAAGAAAGAGAAGTTACATGTGGACGGATAGTTACTGTTTTTTTTTCTAAATAATAGTATTGAAGTAGACGGCCAATGAACTACGTCGAACTTTTCTTTATTCTACTTGTGTTTATTTCACTTCACTGTCTCGTAAACATGAATTTTATTTTCCTTTCTGTTAAGAACGAAAGAAAAACACAAGGTTTCTCTGTTGAATATTCTAATCAACACAAAGAACGAACAACAATCTTGCCTTAGTTAGGCCTTTGAAGAATAAAATATCGCTTATTGAGCCCCACTCTGTCAAACCAATAAAACCTATTTTCACTTTAATTTTCTGATTTTTGAAAAATTTTGAAACATAGTTTTAACAGATTATTGTCTGATCCTTGACTTTTCTAATCAAAGTTAATACGACATGTCATAGACGAGAAAATACAAAATATCGAAGCATCAATTGTTTATTGCTGATTATTTGCTGGATGATGTAGTACTTGTATGAAGTTAATTAAAAATTCACTCCGTGTATACAACTAGGTGTGCTAGCGATTACCTTTGCCAGTGTATATTATGCAAATCCTATGAAATATTTTCAATTTTATACACATCAAGAAGCTTTGCTGAGTTGTGTAAGAAACAAGGAAGTAACTGTTTTCTCCTTGTTAGTATTTCAATATAAACCATCTTTTAGAGAGATATCAAACTTAATGAAGAGATTTTCGAAATCAAAACAAGAATCAAAATTACAATCACTTTCTATTTAGTTTTTTTGGAAACCGTCTATAACATTTCGAAGTTTCAAAACCTTTTACATTTTACATTTTAGCTTAGTTTAGAAGAAAAAATATTCTGAACTTGAGCATACAGTTATGAATTAAGTACAAAATTGTTTTTATGTTCGTGGATAACTTTTGAAAATCTTTCATTATACAATGAAACATTATGTGGCAGTCACCACTACTAACAACAAGCAAAAATTTTAACTATTTACCGGTATCAGCCGCATTTGACGATGACAAACATCACTGTTTTCTATAACGCACAATCGATGGTAGAAGATATGATCATCGATTTTTGACTGAGGGTGCCAGTCTTTACAAATGTACCTACTCGTATTCTTTGTATTCATGTTTTCCTGATTTTAAATTTAATAAGTATAGCTCTTTGTTTGTCTTTCTCTCATCTATAGTCATTCAAGTCATTTTGCATGAACACTGGAAAAAATTGTTTTGACATGAAAATTATTGAAAATCTGAAACAATACATATCATCAATGCATCGCACGAGATTTTAATGAATGATCGAAAACCCAATGTTGTAACTACTCAATGTGACTAATTGATAGTAGACCCTACTAAAAACGTTTCAGTACATGAGGAAAAGTTTGATTTTAAAACGTATTTGTTATTTTTTGAGATCCAATAGCCAAAATATTTTTCTCCGTCAATAAAATATATCTACAATAATTCAATATATTTGGAGACATGAATTACTGCTAATAATGCTATGTTGATTGTTTAACACTATTCTGTTTAACTACAATGAGCATGAATTATTCATATCTTATTTTATTATTCTATAGAAAAGAATGAAATAAAAATTCTTCTAAATCCTCTTCTGTAAAGCATTTCCTGTTATTTATTCTTATTTTGTTTATATATAACTGTTACTGTAGATGATCCAAATTAGTATTGTGATTACCCAATTTTTTCAAATAATAAAACATATCTAGCCATGCAGTTGTAAATGAAGTATAGTTATGATAGGGTAAACCAAATTTGTAACATTCTTCTTGAACAATCTGTGAAATTACTGGATACAGATATATATTCATTGAAGGAAAGAGATGATGTTCGATTTGATGATTTAATCCACCGCTAATAAAAGTAGCCAGATAACTATTGGATTTCCAATTAGCTGTTGTGTAAACTTGATGAATTGCCCAATGCAATGAACGTCGATTGTCGACATGGATCATGGGTGTTTGCAATTTTTCTTGGATATGATTTACAATAAAAATATTTTCGAGATAATATGCGCCTATTGCCATAAAAATAATGAGTGTAACTAACGTATATTTTCCACCATAATATACATAAGGAACTATGACGTGAATTATCAACCACAACATTTTTGTTATTAATGCTGAAATGATGACATGAATTTTAGTTGCTAAACGAATATTACCACCTTTAGATTTTATCAAAAATTCAATATCATTTATTGTCCATTTGAAAAACCCAATACTCATTAGAATAGGAACAAGAATATGTTGATATCGACGTATGTAGATACGAAAGCGAGAAGATGCTTTTTTAATATTATCCTGATTCGTTTGTTCAACATCAGAAATAAGAGGATGAAATCGAAACAATGGATCACCAATTTCACAATCATTATCTTTGTGATATTCGTTGGGCGTCGTATGGTGTGCTATTTGATGTTCATATGTCCATGTGTAATGTGAACTACCAATTATATCCATGAAGAAGCCGACAAATCGATTCCAATAAGGATTTGAGGATATTGCACAATGGTTTCCTGAATGCATCAAAAATCCCATTCGTGCCATAATTACACCTAAGCAAACAGCTGCAAAATAGCTGTTTTTAAAACTTTTATAATAGGTTGTTAAACAATATAGGATTAGTGTTAATACAGCTTCCGTTTGATATATCCATTGAAACGCATGACGACCGCCATAGTTTTTCTCAAGATAAACATCAACTCGATTACGAAGTGTACAATAGAAATTAGTCGAATCTAATATTGTACCATCATCGTAGGTATTCATTGCATATTTGCACTTGGATTCTGTCTCAGTAGACAATTCTCCAAGGTATTTACCGTGTTTCATTAATAAAGCTTGACATTTCTTGATGCTTCTCTTAGAATGATAACTTTCGAATAAGCATGTCGCATCGGCAATACCTGTTGCATATTGAAGAATATTACCTCCTGGATGAAGATTAATGAGCGATGTTATGTCATATACTTGGCCGTAAAGAACAATCCATGAAGATCTTTTGTCACTGCCATTATGTTCCTCGAGTTCCTTTAAAGAAATGTAAGACATGGTTTCGTCTGTAGAACAACCATGCATAATTCAGTCGTTATATGACTTAGAGCAATATATGATCTCGAAATCAATGCTAGAGTCGTAAAATGTAGAAGGCGTTAAAGCTTGAGTATTGTTACGTTGCACGTCTTAAGAGAACAGAAAAGAAAAAAACTGTGAGATGGATAAATAAATTTGTAAGACAAAGCAGGAGAACGAAAAACTTGGCGTATAATTAACGGTGTAAGGAGTACGAGACATTTTCTAAGGATTATGATATGTAACGAAGATGAGATGCAGACGAAATTTTTTAAAACCTATCAAATATATAACTCTAGAAATTGTGTTTTGAATCTATTGAATAAAAAGAAACTAAGGAATATTATCAGTTCTTTGATATGTTGGTCAATATTTACTGTTAATCGTGTAACTTCTCACACAATACGACAAGTACGAGCTCTGACAATTTCCAATCGGTCCGTAATTAGACATCTTGAAGAGTGCATGAAAATCAATAGAATTTTCCATGAATATTTTCGTGTAAAGTTCAAAAAATGGGAACTTTTTGTTGCTACTTCTCTACTAGCGTCTTTTACGTCGAAGGTTGGAGTATAGGATAGACTATTCCTTTATTTTGTTCATACTTCGAATCCTATCCTAACTACTAGTAATAGATTTATTGAGATATGATTAGATCAGATAAAAGTTCGTAGAAAAATCATCGCTGCTAACGGATCCGGCTTTCGTATGTTAGAAACAGTCAAATAGATAATGATAGTGTTTATTTTGTTTTTGCTCTAATGTGATTTTCAAAAATTGACTCTGTTTGACTATGAATTTCACTATAGGATAATTTAAATCTTATATTTGAAAACCTATTACTAATTCTACATAAATTTTTCAAGAAACAAGAAAAACGAAGACTATCGTTAGATAGACAAGAATTGCTCTAGTCACAATATGAAGAAAAACAAAACTTGGATCTCTACCAAAAAATGATATAACATTTCATTAGATGTTGGTTCGTTATTCTGCTTTTAATCTGCTTGCATTGTTCTTATAATACATGAAATGTTTATTTCGCTATAGTCACAGATATGCAAACTCGTTCCTCTATTCAGAATGAAATTTGCGACCAGCATAACTGTCATTGATATTTTTTCTTTGTAAAAAAAGAAGAACACCAGCTGGTTTACCAATTTAGTTACTTTTCAAATACTATTAGTTTTTCATTGTTGTGAACTAAAAAAAAGGAGAAAAGAGGAAGACAAACATATGACTTGAATTTTATCATTTTAGTAGCAGTTTTTTCAGTGTATCTTGATTTTTGTATTGACATAAGAAAACAAAAGTTGATCAGAGGTCGTATTTACTTTATTCTATGTGAAAAACATCTTATTAGGTCATTACAAATGTTATAATTTTATGTTTTACATAGCAGAATAAACAATCATTGATCGATTGATTTTGAACTCTGTATATTTCAACAACAAAATTATATATAGTCGTTATTTGCAGCAATCATGATGTTCTATATCGCCATCAATTAATTGAGCATTGAAAATAGTATTCAATGAGCATAAACGTTAAATCCCAATGCAACTCGAAAAGTGAGGAGATAATTGGTTTTTTCGTATAGACAAATAGTCTTGTTACTATAATATGAAAACAAAGAAATATTTACTTGAATTAGATATAAGTCCTCTTTTACATAATAAAGAATATTTTAAAAAATACAGTAACTATCTCAATTTATATTTTTAGTAAAAAATGACTTGTATTCTATTAATGATTAATAATCGTAAGTCATGTAACAGTTCATTGGCATAATTCATTTTCTTAATATTTTTAACAAATTTGTGTTTTAAATAAAGGCTTTCTTTTTATTATATGAAACACTATTTTAAGTCAGAATGAGCTGATCGTCTATTTGAAAAATGAAAGACGAAGTATCACGATTGATTAATCTCAATTGAATACTGTTAGTTTCCAAAGAAAATTTGATGAACCAATCGATTGTAAAGAATAGAATCATTTTTTTCCTATCGTTTAATCCAGTTGTTGTTCCCTGTGATAATAGCGTGTTATGGAATACCTACTACGATCAATATCACGAGAAGAAGAAATTAGATATAGATACCTATCAAGTGCTTTTTCAAATCTCAAGTAATTTCATGTTATTGAATCATCGTTTCAATTATTTTTTTCTAAACGATACTTATAATTTACTAGAATCAGATGTTTCCCATGTGGATACAAAACCGAAAAAGTTATACTTTGATCAATCAATTCATCATGTAGTGAAAAAGTAAGAGAAAAATAAACATGACAAAATTCATTACGAGAATAACGTCATCAATGCGTATTCGTATGTTTCTAACAAATGCTATCAATTAATCATTCAATTATGTTTTATTTATATAATTGATTATCTTTTATCATTTGACTGTACATCTATGACGAACAAAATTAGTTGTTCGAAAAGATCTTCGACTATCTTTTTTCTGTGCTCATTGGAATTATTTCAAAACGCGAAAGCAAACAAAATCAATAAGAATTTGTCTTTTATCGTAATTACTTTCAAACCAACGAAATCTTTTCATATAGCTATCAACTATTCTATCTAATTAGAAATAAAATCTTTGTATTCACATGAACAACTCTGCACTTTCATTCTCGCAATCGACTGATATAGAACATTGAGTTTTGTTGAATACGTCAAAAAAATGAATAATTCAAAAGAAAACTGACAATGGGATCAGTGCGTATCAATAAATTTAAGTGGAAAATTTCCTTTTTTAAAAGAGCCAATCTTCCAGAAATTTGCTCATTTCTTCAGTTAACAATGTTTTCTTTTTTATTCATGCTAAATGTTTCGTATCTTATGATTTTGATTATTATTCAATATATTGGATTTTTTCATATTTGCATAAAATAAACCTGATATCGAAAATAGTTTAATTCTCTATCAATGCTATTTCAATGAAAAATACTTTTTAAACGATGACTTTAATTAATTAATTAACCGAATAAATATATATTAATACTGAAGAGAAAACGAAGTTTAGATAAATTACCAGTATTCAAAAAATCCCTTAAATGAAACATCATCTTCAGATGGTGCTGGTGTCATTTTTGTACACGTCCACAAACAATTTTTTTTTTCTTTCTGATAAACACTTTTAGTATCATCTATAAGAAAAACAGAAATATTTAAATAAACTAGAAATAACTAATTTTTGAATCAATAGAGAAAATATAGTTAAAAAAATGTTACAGCCATTATTAATGACAAGTCATCTGGTAGTTTATGAAAATTTATCGATTTTCTTTACATTCTTAATTCAAGACAACACAAATAAATCGTGATTTGAGCCAAAAAAAAGACGAAGTATCAGTACTATTTAATATTAAGTTTAACTTCTAATTTACTTGCTGTGAAAAAAATGGCGACGAACGAATCTTTTGTAAAGAATTCGATATCTTTATCCTTTATTGATTAAAGTTATAAATCTTAAATATCAATTTAATCAATAGTAAAAGAAATGATCGACCAGATTTTTTTTTATAATTTTTTCTAACCGTACAGTAATTAAGAATGGTCTCTCTTCTATTTAGCATTTTTGAAATCATTGATACCTTTTTTGGATAGACGAACGAGAGATATCATTGTTTTCACAATATAATAACTGGTCATTGTTAACAGCTGACGAGTTCACATTTTAAATAATTCTATAGTCTTTGTCATTAGCTCGTATATTTAATCAAACTTAAAAAATACAAATCAATTGAATATAAAACATGTCCAGGTACATGTAATTCAGAGTATAATTTCACACTTTTTTTATTTAGATACGCGCAGTTGAAGTCAAAATGACAATTTCTTTATCAAACGAAAAAGTAGAACTTTCTCTGTGATGAAACTTTATGTCTGTTATTTTTCTCATAAAAATATGTTCAATTCGTGTTGAACTATGCTGGATTATTTATTAAAAATAGCATTTATTGTTAAATCATTTTTTTATTTGATAATCTAGTATGTTTATTATTGGCCATAATAGATTCTCTATACCAATGCTTAATAAACTATTGGTTTCATCAATCGATAGTTTGCATCGAAGCGTTTACATAAACAAACATATGTTTTGAGAAAAACCTGTTATTTTATTCTCCAATGGATGTTGAACTATTGAGTAATATTCATCACGTGTGAAGTTTTGATTATTATCTTTGTTTTGTTTTGTTGGTTCGTGCATTCATTCATTGGTCCATTAGTCTAACGGCATGTGTTCATATTAAAAGTGTGAAAATAGAAGATAGAAGCTTCCTGCTGTGCAACGATATAAAAAAACGTATGTTTATTCAGAAATATTTCATCGTCTCTGTGAACAGATTGTTCAAATAGCAATGATACGAAGAATAGAATATAAAACAATGTATTATTTATCTTTATTACAAATAAAAATACTTGAAAGTGAAGAGTATCTTCATGGAAATATCATGACGCCAATAAGTTGACACTTGAAATATACATTTTATTTTCATAATTGAACTTTTTCAACAGAAAAAAAGAGATCATATTTTTAAAATGCATTCGTTCAGTTTAAATTTTTATTTAAGTTATCGTATTTTCAAACAAACATTTCTCAGCTGCTTTAGAATCGATCAAAGAAAAAGTGAATTTAGACGAAAGAAATCCCTAAAAACATATTTACTTTAAAAATGTTGTTCCTTCTTCACAATACGATTAATGACATCAGTTTCAAATGTCAATATTTACAAAAAGAAAAAAGAAATGACATCTCAGATGCATTGGAAACAAATGTTCAACTAAAAATTAGATTTTTATTTCACAAGTTATTAAAAATTGACAATCAATTTTTATTTGTCATTTAAAGATAGCCAATTCGTCTAACTGATAACAGGGAAATTGTATATCTTTATTTCTCATTGAATTTTAGATGAGTTATCAATGTTTATTTTGTTATTATCAACAGAATTTATAATCCTATTTCAACTTTAATCAAAAAAAAATGAATACAACTTAAAAAGTATGATTTCGTATATTTGAAGTATTCATCTGATATGTCTAAACTGTGATATGAAATTTCATTAAGCGAGTATACAGATTTAATAATTCGATTTGATTCTACTCTGATGTCACTTATTCCTTTGTTGCAGTTACTTTTCTCTCGACGAGCAATCCTTTTACTACTTTGAGAATTAAGAAAGTTATTGTTTTTCTTGTTTATATTGTATTTATTTCACATTAATTATATCAAATATCTTTAAAACGTAAATTCATCTCAGAGCATTTTATTTCGACGAAGTTCTTGGATGGAAAACTCGTCTGCGGAGAAAGAAATTATTTGACGTGAGAAAAATATTTTTCATCTCTCTCCTTTTGTTTTTTTTTGCACGTCGGTCGCGAGCGGTCAGTCAATTGTTGTAGAATGAATATATCCTTGGCAAAGAAGAATAGAACAAAGAGAGAAGGTGACCGGGCCAAGGGTCATTTCTTCATCCCAACCAATAAATGACAATGACCTTCGAATGAACCAATGATTATTTTGTTTCTTTCATGATACTTATATAAATTGATGTGCATCTCAGTGAAATCGTTACACAATTCAATATGCAGCGAGATACAGTAAGTTGTTTTTATTTCTCATGCGGAAGTCACTGTTCGTCTTGCCTCGCTTGATCGAAACAAATATAGCGAAGCTTGCCGATCAGTTCCCTCCGATGGGATAAACTATTACGTATTATTCTGAATCATGATATTGTTTCCATAGGAAAATTGCGAATACACTGTTCACACACCTCGCGCCGTGATTAAAATTTTATTAAGTTCCGCTGGGTTGTGCAAACAGTCTAATTGCTTTTTTCATCATCTTCATTTTGAAGGCACAGAAAAAAACTGTTCATCTAGCCTCGCCTTCGAATTTTGTATTTTTGAAAAATAAAGGCGGGAGCAGATCGTGACAGTCGTTAAATGTGTTTACTATCGACGAAGTTTTTTTTAAAATTTTCACATGCTTTATTTTGAATAACAAGCGAAGGGTTTGTTTACGCTATTGTATGCTTCTATCGTGCGATTGTTATGTTTTCCACGTGGTAGATCTTGTCGAACATCGATACCTTCTAGAGAATTTTATAAGCGTACATTAGTCTGTGACATTAGATGAAACTAACTTCGGCAACATTGAGTAAACCGAGATGAAAATACAAAGCGACTGAAAGAACAGGTAAAATTATCTTCAGTTTAAAATCAACTGGTGGCACGATTGGTATTCAGCGGACAGTTAGAGTGAATCAAGTGAACATAGTTTGAATAAAATGAAAGACTCCAGCTGTGAAACTATTCAGAGGAAAACAGTAACTCACTGAAAAGTTCTTCCACTTGTTACCGGACACAGTAGATGTGCTTCTGTCACGGCCAATGGAAAAAACCTTTGGGAAAAACAAGGATGCGCCCAGCACAAACGGTAAGGGAAATGATTTTGTATCGAATTCAACTGGATCAATCATGGACGATTGTATAGCTAACTTCCTATCACAATCATCAATAATTAAAAATGGAAAATCTTGAGGGTGTGGGAGATTGTCTTCGTTGTAGTTCGTTCTCGTCAGCTTTCACTATTCTACAGACAAGATCGTTTTTCTCTGTTTCACTTTATTCCAGGGTCTTGATGCTCAGTTTAGAAAGTGATACCGATTTACGTAGCTGCTAATATATCCATCCTTTTATGATTAGATGAGTTACGTATATCTAGAGAAAGAAAGCGCAATAAATAGAGAAAGCAATCTTTGCAACATTTTCAGTATATTGAGGGATGACTGAATAACTTATTATTATGAACATTAAATAAATATATTGTTGATATAAGATTGAGGAATCTCCAGAGCAATTTGAGAAGATATTCATTTTAGTTTTTGAAATCTGATAAATGTGGCAGTGTAGTCGACTTTATAATTTAGATTCATGAAAGAATATGAAAAGTTATATGGATCAAAATGTTATGATATGATATTACAATTGCTTTTGGTAAATTTCGTATTCATATGAAAGAATGTCCATTGCTTTCACCTTATTACTTTTCGTTTCATAAGAAAAAAAGTTGGACTCTATTTGAGATGTAAACAAAAAGTAGAAAGAAAAATTTTTAAATTTCAATAAACGATTTGTCAACAATAACAGATGTATCTCGAATAATTGTCAAAAAATCATGATAAAGAATATTTTTCTCTAAATGAAAATGATTTGTTATCCATTGCTGAAAATCTTTTTCTATGTTTTGTTTCACATCAGTTAATAGTTGTTTTAGTTTTTCTTTTAATTTACATTTATCTTCGATTGATGGATCATCATATGGCGACCAGTGGTCTTGATTAAAAGTTAATTCAATTGTTTTAATAACTGTCCATGAAAGATCATTATCACCTGAATAGAGTTCTAATGAATTCCAATAATTAAACGATTTTATTTTTTGAATTTGTTCATTCGAAAGAATTTGTTCAAGTTCATATTCAATATTTAATTGATTATAAAGATTCGATGTTAGAACAAAACCATACTCAATAAGTAAATCAACATTTGAATGAGGATTATAAAGAAATGTTATTTGCTCATTGATATCTATTGGTTTTGTGGTACGAATTTCATAGGAACGAGTAAAGGAATTAAAGTTTGACATTGTATTTGGTTCAATTGAATGGTTAACAAAATCTAAAAAAAGAGTAGAAAATAAAAATTGTTTCGTTAAAATTAAATATATATATTCTAACCTAAATAAGGAATAAGACAAAGATTATTATCTTGATCTTTTGAAGATATATCCATAGGAAAATGAACACATCGTGTATTTATAATATAATAAGCCCATTGAAATTGATCATCATTATATTGTTGAATTTTAATTCTTGATTGATTATATTTATTTAAATGTTGTTTCATTTTATCTGAAAGCTGTCGAGGATATTTATCATTAGGAAATACACACCATTGTGGAATTGGTTGAATAGATCGCAGAAAACTAACATATGGATTTGATTTTTCTTCTAATAAATAAATAATTAAATGTTCAAAACCTGTTAAATCCTTATTTTCAAATGATGGTTTAATAAAAAGATTTTCTGGTATCGAAAGAACGAGAGAATTCTTTTCAATGAATGACCGACGAGAATAAAGACCAAAACCACAACTATCTGAATAACAAACATTTACATTTTCTGTAATAACACCAGATGAATTGAACCAACAAAGAAATTCGTCGAGATCCATTGATCTGAAATAATTAAATAAAACTCAAATTCTTCTTATTTTTATCAAAGCTTAATGAAGAAATCTTGTTTAATTATTTAATAACTTCAATCTTTATTATAATTAAACTTATTCGTAAGAAGTTTCTTTTTTAATTTAAACATATCAATTAGTAGTTGATGTCAGAATATATATTTGAAAATCGAATTGAATATATTTCTCTTAATCTCTTTTTCTCGTCAGGTTTAACTTTAGAAAAAGGAATCATACGTTAGTTTGCTTGGAAATCAATAACAAAACCAACTAACGAGCTTTTAGCTGATGATGAGGCCAAAATAAACTGAATAATATTTAATTATAAATGATTATTTAGACTGTGAAACAAACTTCGATCTTCATTAGTTATGCTGCTAAAATTTTACCAAGTGTCAGAAGTAGATTAGACAACTATCATCTGATTGCTTTGAAACGTTCAATATAGTGTATGTAAACAATGTGATTTTCTATAATTTTATATTTCGTTTATAACGTAACAGACACAGAATGCAAAATAATTTTTAAAGGATGATTTGTCTAGATCAAAGTTCTCTCGAGAAGGCATTATTTTATCTTCTATGATAGATTTAAAAATTAGTTTTTCGAAGTGATTTTTGTTTTAGTCATGGCAATTTCCATATAAATTGACTCGTCTTGTGTAATCGTATAAATGATATTTAACTTACTATAATGTCTCATTTGGCAGAGAATTCACTAGTCTTCAATCATGTTATATTATTTTGAACTTTTTCAAAAAATTGACTAATAGTTATTTTGTCTTATTAAAAAGAAAGGAAAATCTTAATTTATACTCAAACATAAATTAGATTGATTATATTTTTTTCTCTAAGTACCAAAATAACATATTGAATTTTCTTTTCTCATATAAAAATTATTTTTATTCTTACTAAAACAATATTTATTTAATAAATAAACATTTTTATCAAGTTTTTCTTGTATTTCAGCTATGAAATAGTATTACATGAAATGAAACATAGAAATGTAAAATAAAGGTAAAGTTATCGTTTTAGTAAGATCAATCGATTTTGAAAATTAATTTTTTCATTAAAAACAAAAACGAAACAAAACACAAATAGATGAAGAATTATTTTTTATTTAAGTGGATGGGTTGATAATTTTGCAGATTTTTCCGTTGTTTTTTTTAGTTATTTTATTTATTTGTCCAAAGAAGATTTTTAAAATGTTGTAAAATAAGATTTTGTCGAATTTGTAATGATATTAAATCAATATGATTATTATCAAAAATACTTTCATTATTTATTATTTGTTGACATATTACATGATGCATAACAATGTGAATCATACAAACAATCTCTATTTTCATGACAACGATTTGGAAGACGAGATAATATTGATTTTGATGATATTATTTGATTTAATTTTAATGTCTAAATTTAAATTAAATATAATTTATTTCAATTCAATTTTAGGTCTACGATTATTTTATATTAAAAACAATTACACTTTTCTTTCTATTCAGTTTAATATAAAAATTGATTTGGACTCAATTTGTTCAAAGTTTCAAATTATATTCAAAACAACAGAATTTTTATATAAGAAAAAACAAAACAATCAGTTATTAAATCTATTAGTTTAGTCACGATAAAATTAATCTTACAAAAATAAACACCAAAATAACCTTAGAATATTCAAAGTAATTCTAACGATTTTATTTAAAATTAACAAAAGTACCACTCTATACTTATCTAAATATTATCACTGATTTATGTTTGATGGAGATTTTTTTTTTGATTTTTTAACTCACAACCATCTTATCGAATCTCATCGAATTTTAATATTTATATTTTAACATTAGAAATTTTCCGAAACAATCAAATATCAAATGTTTGAATCACATTAGAACAATAATTCTCATTATTCGAACCATTCAAAAGAGCTAGAAGATATTGTAAGGAGATTTTTCATATATTTTCTGTCGTTTCAACTTAATTTAACAGCAAAGGAGATCGAAAAGTAATAATATCAATTTGAGTTACTGTTTCTTATAAATTATCGAAACTAGTTATGTAATAAGAATAATAATCACTGATTCTACCGTTAATCGATTTCTTGTTTCTTCTTATTAACAGTTTACCGATCTTAGATAAGCCACTAGACTATAGTCTAGAAATATCTGCGAAGAATAATACTGAAGACGATGAATGCATAGTAAAACTACGCTGATCAACGATTTCTTTTGAGTTTTTCTTTCAAGAAAATAACTGAATTTTCTTAGATATAACTAAACTTTGAGAACGAAACTGTTCTCAATTAAAAATATTGAACTTAACAATTTTGACAAACTCCTTATAGATTCGAATTTCATGATCGTGAAAATTTAAGGCTTATTTTAATAAAATTTAGTTCATTTTTTGAAATAGTCTCTCCCCGACTGAAAACAAATCACAATCAATCGAAGACTCTCATAATTTTATCGTACGTTGATAATAGATCGTCCCACCATAGACGTGTGCACCGACATTGCTGCATTCTTAATTGAAACTATAAAGAACGTATTCTTTCTGTTACCCAATTCAGTGTTGAGTTAAAAAGAAAGAAGGTAACGAACCGAAAGAAAAAGTACATGCTGCAACTTTTTAATGCCTATGCAAAAATGTCTTTTGCTATTTTTATATAAAATCAGTTGAAAAATATATTTATGAACATGATCTACGTAAGTTAGATATATAAATATTTTCAAACGATTAGTAATTTTCTATTAAAAAGATAATAAATCATATACTAACCAAGCCAAACTTTTAATTTTACAAAAAAAATATTTGTGATGAATGCATTCGAGTAGTTTGAAAAATAATGACTGATTATATATATTATATATATTGAGAGAATAAATAAAACTTACTTCTGATTCATAATCTTTATCATAACCAAATGATTTAATTAAAGGTTGACATAAATATAAATGTAGATTAGTATTTTGATAATGCCATTTATCACTAAAAAATTCAATTATTCTAATTGCTAATCGTACTCTTTGAAACTAATTAGGTCGTTCAGATGTTGAATATAGTTCTCAAATATTTCTTTTAAATCATAAAAAAATAATCAATGGAAAGTAATAAAGAAATACCTTGTTTATCATCAAAAGGTAAATTTTGATTAATAACTTTCTCCAAAGCAAATATATGTCCACACGTTCCACAAATTTTAGTTGTATAAATTTTATCTGATAATAATGTTGCATAAATAAATTCATCTATTTGTATAAGGGCTCAAAAACTACGTGCTTTCAGATAAACTTATCTAATCAATAAAAAAAAAACTTAGTTTTTTAAATAAACAAAAAGTAATTTTTTTTGTTACTTTATTATCTTTATTAAAATCAGCAAATTTAATCAAATCTTCAATTAAAATTTCAGGATTATCTAGTTTGATTATAATTACTGGAATATGTTGCTCAAGTGGGCTACCAACTGTATCCCATTTCGCCATTTTGTATCCCTGGGGTACATATTTTGTACCTCATTTAGACTTTTACGTCTGCGGTACGATTACCTAATCTTCTAATGAAAATAACCTGTCTTCCTCTAGACTTTTCTCATTTTCGTAAAGAAATGTATAACTATATGAATAACTCGTTCGAACAAGCATCGAAGGTAATATATTCAATACAACGAGTCGATATAGTTGGCAACTACATATTGATTGATGATAAGAAACGAGAAATATACTAATTAACAATCTAATACAATTCATTCTGATCTTCATATTCGGCTAGGGCTGCCAATTCTTATTTTTCAAATGGGATTTTTGAAAGTCCAAATGAGGTACATTCGTTTTCAGAATGGGGTACATTATCTACCTCCTAAAATAGAGGATTTAATTGAAAAAAACGATTAGATAAATACCACCATTAGAAATAGGAAAAACCTGATTTACATATAGAACAATGAGCAAAATATTTATTAATTCGACATTCTCTGAAAAATACTATATATTTAGGATCTTTCAACCATTTTTGGTTGAAGATACAACATCTTTTTGACTTTGATGAAATTTTTTGTTTTCTTTGATATTGATAGTTGGTTTGTCTCGGAAACTGGGAAATTCTTCACTTATTGTTGCTTCTGAATCATCAGAAATTTCAATTTCATAATCCTTGTTCCATGCCATACGAAAATTATAACCAAGACCAAATACATAAAGAGCAAATCTAAAACTGGATTCATTTTTGAGATAATATGTATTTGTCAAATTTAGTAGGAAAAAGTAATGAAACAGTGGGAAATGAGAAAAATTCAATAAAAGTTATTTCATTATTCATAGTGAAAATAGTTTGTAAAACAAATAATTAAAAACGAAATTAAACAAAATGGATGCTAATATCTATTGGTCAGTTATTTATCAGCACATTTTATTATACACAGGAGTGGCGGTGGTGCGATCGTTTCAACTTTGGG